CCCAAAACCCCAAAACCCCAAAACCCCAAAACCCCTAAAATTTTAAAGATATTGAGAAGGGCATTTTAAATTGTCTTAATAAAGACAAGGTCTTTCCTTAGACTGATGAAGCACTTATCAGAGTTGGTGATGCAGTACTTTACGTCTTTGATAGTACAGTTCTGCTCCTCGAAAAGGTAGTCCTCATGCTCCTTGCCTTTCCCTTTGTAGAAGAACTTATCACTGATTGTTCCCACTACTTGATCAAGAATCTTGTTGTCTCTTGGAGGTATCTGCTTTAAACTGTAGAAGGATTCTTCTTCATTTAATTGCTTCTCAATTCTGAAGATTACTTCTGGATTAATACTCTTGGACTTTCCCTTCATTTTAGCTTGCTTCTCTATGGAGTAAACTCAACCATTTATTGAGGAGAGGAGAATCTGGCATGATGTATGCCTGCTTGATATAGAAGTTGTATTTTCTTTTATCAAATTCGACTTCTTGCTGGAAAATTCATCATCAAAATACACCATCTGGTATGAACCATGCCTTCCTTCAATATTATACTGTATCTGTTGTGTATCATTATTACTTTGAATGCTGGGATCCCAGACGATATCATACATCCATCTTCGGCTGTTCCCTCAGACTTCATGTACAGGATAGAAGGAACTTCCGTTAATATCCCAAAGTCGCAGGGACCCATCTTTAGAAATGCTTGATAGAATAACCTTATTCTCATAATACAGACTATTTGTGATAAATTCCAGACCAGAGATTTCCATTTCATGAGCATTCTTGAATATCTTGAATAGGGAAAACTCATATTCAGTGTGCTTAACCTCTTTACCTATACTCTGGATGAACGGATACATTACTTTTCTTCTGGGCCACTTTGAAGATATAAATATTTCCTGCCGAATCGCCAATAGCCAGGTATTCTCCCATAGCTTTACAGGAGAGGAGCTCGACTGAGGTTTTATTAAGCTTGATAGTCTTTCACAGCTCCAAACAATTGCTCTCTCTGCTCTCCTTTCTTGTAAATCTGTAAACTTGGAGGTATGATCCTTGATCTGTGTTTCAAAGGACTACACATTGAGAAAAGAATTTGTTTCTGTTTTTCTGTATTGGCATCCATTCTAGAAAATAAAGCGGAGCCTTACCAACTTGTGTTACAGATTTCACTTTCTGATCCTTTAGAGTTGGAATAGTGAGGATTTCATAGACTTTTCCTTCCTCTTTCTGGATTTGGACGATGATGATCCTGTAGAGGTCTTCCTCTCCAGACCTTGTATGGGTCAGAATTGAGCAGTAGTTCACAATATCATGGATTTTCTACAGAGTTATAGTTGAAGCATACCTCTGATGAAACGTTATCAGAATTTTCATGAATATATTCTTCGATTGGGATCCACTTACAGCTAAGAATGATAATATCAATTTACCTTTTAATTCTTTGTTCAGGAATACAGAGAGCAAGGAGTCCTTTTTCTAGTCGTTTTAGATCGAATCCCTTCATTTCGTAGCTTTTTGGGTCTTCAGGAGTTCTGTAATATTAGAAAGGACTCGACATACTCTGAAACTGGGTTAACTACAATCTTGATCTTTTTATCTAGTTCATTATCCTCTGGGGTGAGGCCATGATTCAACTTCTCAAATCTTTCCTGAGTCATATGGATGGTCTGATAATCTCAAAATCTTTGCTTGTCTGAAAGATGTTTTGGCACCCTAGAATTTTAAGGCTGATATATACTTAGTAGCACAAGGATTGATAAGCACCAGCTGTTCCTTCTTCATCTTCTTTAGGTCCCTCTTCTTGAGAGATACGTTCTCTTCATTTTGGTAAAAAGTTCTGGTCTTGTTGAGAAATATTGAGAGCTTGTTGTCTTCAGAGCTCACTGTTTCCATATATGCGTAGTTCTCACAGCCAAGCTTAGAGAGTCCTTTCATTATATTTGTGGCATTTTGCTGAAGGATAATAAAAAAGAACTTACTGTATTCCTGTTAAAAACAAACCCACATATTTGTCACTTCTTTCAATTGATTGGGTTGAGTCCGCCTAGGAAAACTTACTCATGGAAAGGAAGTATTACTTACTAAGTCCGTTCTTTGTGCAGTTAGTGCAAATTTTCTTGCCTCTTTTACATTTTGTGACCTTGACCTCCTCTTTGTCCTCTTCAAAATTTCTCTCCATAGCTGCTCTTGTTCTTTTGATACCTCTTGTAGCCATTTGTAAATATTTACTTATAATTTAGTGGGTATTTTTCAATTATATCTTCTCCAAAAGGGGTTTTGGGGTTTTGGGGTTTTGGGG